TACAAGTAAGTCCACAGTTATAGTTGGAGACTACAGTGTACTTCTCTGAACAAATGGTGGAACAAAGGGACTGAAAATCAGCAAAGATACAGAAAAATTCAACAGCACCATCAACCAGTTGATTCTAATGATCATTTATAGAACACTGCACCCAACAACAAAAGAATACACATTCTTTTAATGTGACCACAGAACATATAACAAGACAAACCACATGCTGGGCCATTAGAAAAAATTAAAAAATTGGAATCACAGTGTGTTCTCTGTCGACAATGGAATCAAACTAGAAATGATTAACAGACAGATAACAGTACCACAGCATACTTCAAAATAATCCATGAATCAACGAGGAAGTCTCAAGGAGATTTTTAAAAATACATTGAACTGAATGAAAATTAATATAGAACATTTCAAACTTTGTGGGATACAGTTAAAGTCACACTGAGAGAAACAAATTATCACTAAATTTAGTACTAAATCCATACACTAGAAAAGAGAAGAAATCTTAAATCAATTACCTAAGCTCCCATTGAGAAAACACAGGAAAGAAGAACCAAATATACTCAAAGCAAGCAGAAGGAAGGAAATAATAAAGATAAGAGCAGAAATAAATGAAATTGAAAACATAAAAACAACAGAAACAATAAAACAAAGAGCTGATTCTTTGGGAAAAGTAATAAAATTGACAGACCTCCAGCAAGACTGACAAACAAGAGAGAGAAGATACAGATTACTAGCATCAGGAATAACAAAAAGGACATCACTACAGACCATGTAAACATTAAAAAGATAATACGTGAATATCACAACTCTACAGACATAAATTTGACAAGCTAGATAAAATGGAGTAATTCCTTGAAAAACACAAACTACTACAATTCACCCAATATGAAATAGATAATTTGAACAGCCCTCTATTAAGAGAATTGAATTTGTCATTTTATTTTTTTTTATTTATATATGTATATATATATTTTTTTAAATTGAAGTATAGTCAGTTTACAATATTATGTCAATTTCTGGTGTACAGCACAATACTTCAGTCATATAGGAACATACATATATTCATTTTCATATTCTTTTTTGAAAATTAATTTATTTTTTAATTTATTTTTTTAAATTTGTTATTTTAAAACTCCCAAAAAGAAACCTCTAGGCCCAGATGGTTTCACAGAGGATTCTACCGTATGTTTAAAGAAGAAAGAAGACAATCTACACAATATCTTCCAGAAAATATAAGAGGACAAAGCTTCCCAATTCATCTTATGAAGCTAATTCTACCACATTAACAGACTAAAGAAGAAAAATCACATGATCATATCAATCATTGCAAAAAACAAAAGCTTTTGAGAAGATTCAACACCTTTCATGACAAAAACTCTCAGGAAAAGAGAAAAAGAGGAAAACTTCCTCAATTTGATAAAGATCATCTAAAAAAAGCTACAACTGACAGTATCCTTAACAGTGAAAGATTGAATGCTTTCCCCGTAAGACGAAAAAGACAAGGATATCTGCTTTTACTACTCTTGTTCAACATAGTACTGGAAGTTATACTCAGTGCAAAAAAGGCAAAACAAGGGAATTAAATGCATATCCATCAGAAAGGAAGAAAACAGAACTGTCTGTATTTGCAGACAACAAAATTGTCTAAGGAATCTACAAAAAACTCCTAGGACTAATAAGTCAATTCAGCAGCGTGTCTTGCAGGATGCTATATAAACATACAAATATCAGTTTGCCTTTCTATATGTTTGCAATGAACATACGGACACAGAAATTTAAAATATAATACTATTTAGAATCACTCATAAAGAAATACTTAGGTATAAATCTAACAAAACACATACAGATTTGTATGCTGAAAACTACAAAATGCTGATGAAAGAATTCAGAGAAGACCTAAATAAATGGTAAGATGTACCATGTTTTGGACTAGAAGACCCCATGCAGCAAATATGTCAATTTTTCCCAAATTGATACACAAGTTTAATGCAATGTTTATCAAAGTCCGATCAAGATTTTTTTAAAGATACAGACAAAATTATTCTAAAATTTATATGAAAAGGCCAATAACAAAAACATTTTGGAATAACTAAAACAATTTTGGAAAGAAGAAAAGTAAGGTGGGAGGAATCAGACTACCCCACTTTTAAGTTACAACAATCAAAAACATGGTATTGGTGGAGGGAAAGACACACAGATCAATGGAAGGGAAACTTGAAATCAGCCCATGCAAGTATGCTTAACTGGTTTTTGACAAAGATGCAAAAGCAATTAAATACAAGAAACATAGCCTTTTAAACAAATGGTGCTGGAGCAATGGAACTTTCATAGGCACAAACAAACAAATAACCCCCCCCCAAAAAAAACCTATGATCAAGCCTTCAAAACACAGGGGAAAACAATAGAAAGTCTTCAGGACTTAGGACTAGGCAAAGACTTTTCAGATCAAAAGCATGATCCATAAAAGGAAAAGTGGATAAATTTCACTTTATCACAATTACAGATTTTGTTCTGCAAAAGACCCTATTAAGAGGATGAAAGTACAAGCCATAAAGTGGGAGAAACTATTTACAAACCAGATATCTAACAGAAGACTATTATTTAGAATATATAAAGAACTCTCAAAACTCAATAGTAAAAAACACAACTAATTAGAAAATGGGGAAAAGATATGAACTGACATTTCATTGAAGAGGATATACAGATAGAAAATAAACACATGAAAAGATGTTCAACATCATCAGCCAGTAGGCAAATACAGATTAAAATCACAATGAAATACCACTATATACCTATCAGAATGCCTAAAATAAAAAATAGTGTTAATGCCAAATGCTGGCAAGGATTCAGAGAAACATCATTCGTATATATATTGCTGGTGGGAATGTAAAATGGTACAGCTACTGTGGAGAGCAGTTTGGCAGTTTCTTAAAAAACTAAACATGCAGCTACCATATGATCCAGCAATTACACTCTTGGGCACTAATTCCAGAGAAATGAAAAGGTATGCTCACATGAAAAACCTGTACATGAATGTTTGCAGCAGTTTTAGTCAGAATATTTGAAAACTGGAGAAAACCTAGTTACTCTTCAATGAGTGAATGGTTAAACAAATTGTGGTATATCTCTATCATGGAATACTACTCATCAATAAAAAGAAATGAATTATTGATATAAGCAACAATCTGGATGAGTCTCTAGAAAGTTATGCGGAGTGAAAAAAAAGCTAATTCCCAAAGTTTATATACTGTATGATTCCATTTATATAACACAGATTAGTGTTTGCCAGAAGTTAAGTAGTGGTGTAGATATAAAAGAGCAACATGAGGCATCCTTGTGGTGATGGAAATGTTCTGTATCTTGGCTATATCAATGTCAATGTCCTGTGACACTGGCAAGATATTAGCTTTGGAGGAAACTGGGTAAAGGGTACACAGGATCTCTCTGTATTATTCCTTATAATTGCATATGAGTCTACCATCTTCTCAAAAAAAATTAATTAAAATATTATCTGTGTGGTTTCTCTCTCATCTAAATCCTGATTGATGCAATGCCCATCATCAGATTGGGGGATTTCTCTTCTCTTCCTAGTTTGATAAGAATTTTGGTTAGAGTAAGTGTTGATTCTTGTCAACTGCTTTTTCTGCATTTATTGAAAATAATCATATGATTTTTCTCCTTTTTGGTGAATTACATTTTTTGATTTTAGAATGTTAAGCCAACCTTGTATTCCTGGGATTAAACACTACCTCATCACGGTGTATTAACCCCTTTATACACTGCTGGATAAATTTGCTAATATTTGCTTAGGATTTTTATGTCTAAATTTATGAAATGTCTTTCAGATACCTTCATGAGCGATCAATATTATTAGCTTCTAAAATTAAAAAAGACCTGAGCAAAAGCTGTAAAGTATTAAAATTTGCTAAGGCTGGATGGTGGGTAAACAGTAATTTGTTACATTATTCTCTACATTTTTCTGCTTTCTTCTTTTCATTCTCCTTTCTTTTCATTTGAACAATCCTTGGCTGCAGCTTAGAAGACAGATTCAGAGGATAGACTGAAGACATAAAAACTGGATTCTGTATGTTATTAAGAATACAAGGAGGGGGGTACGAATACAAGAGGGGATATCCTTGTGTAACCTCCTTACCTAGCAATAGGCCTAACACATAGCTGGTATTCAGTAAAAGTTTATTGAATGAATTTATATTTGTTTAAATCACACTCCAATACAACATAATGAATGTTGTGGTCCAGATCCAACCTCGGGATCTAGCTTGTCATTCCCCCCCAGCTTCAGGGGTGGGGGAAGGTTGCTCATGGCTCATAATTTCTGTCTGGGAATTGCCCTTCACCAAAGGAAGCAGCCTTGCCAAAAGTTATAGCACCTCTCCAGATAAAGCCTCTATCACTGGTCAAAACAAGGATATAAATTTCTGACCCCCTTCTTTAATTTGGAACAACTCTGAAAGGTCATCCCAGGCTCAAAGCATTCTTTGGGATTGGCTGAGGCCTCTGCTGAGAGTTTCACAACTCAACCTCTCCTTCTACCTAATCCTGCTTCCATCACTCCCTCCCAGGCTTGATCTCCAAAGTCTTCCCCATCCCCATCCCCACCCCAGAAAACCTCCTGCACGTTAATCTCTCTTTCCTCAGGGAAATCCACCCTATTTTATTTTTCTTTTCATAGCAGTTATCAGCGTGTGAAATAACCTTAAATATTTAATGCTTTAATACTTCCTTATTGTCTGCTCTAAGAATGTTAAGTTTCCCAGAACAGATCTTTTTTTTCCCCTAACAATGTGCACTACTGAATCAGGTGCCTAGGGCAGGGCCTGCAGAGCACAAGCAGACCCTAAATAATGGTTGTGGGAATGAATGAATGAATGAATGAAAGAGACACACCTTCTGGTTTTCGTACAGTCTCTCAAAAATCTGTAACAGGCACTTAGGGGCGGTGGCTCCGGACAAGCCCCTGAGTCCCCGCCCCTCTCGGCACGCCCCCAAGCCCAGGCAGGGGTGGGGCCTCGCAGACTTCGCAGCCGGCGCGATGCCGCAACCAGCCGTACGGCTGGTGAGGTTGAGGCTGGTGTCGTACGGTGAGCTGCTAACGTTGCAGGAGCGCTGGCTGCAGCGGCTACAGGACGGGCCAGGGACCGAGGCGGGCGCGCTCCTGCTCTGCGAACCTGCGGGGCCCGTGTATACGGCC